TTCCAGTTTATTAGAAATTTAATTATTATGTCACAAGAAAATTCATGGCAAGCAAGATTTTTTTTCTTTTTTAACTAATGAAACATTATCATATTTTCTCTAAAATATTTACAATATTTTCATCTATAAGGGCTTCAAAAGAGTGTATAAAACTCTACATATAGCTTCTCATTTTGTCCTTTTATTGATAGAACTTGATGTTTCTGTCCTTAACTAGAAATGTCTTGTCTGCTCACGTTTATGCAAAACAGATATTTTGGAAGAGAAGAAAAAAGAGGTCCTGTAACATCAGAGAGAAACATCAAAGGACTAGAGGCAACATCTTAAGGCTTTTATCAAAGTAGTGAGGGAATGCATTAAAGCAACAATATATGTAGCGTACAAATGATAGGTCTATCAAATTCAACAGCATGTCTGATGAATATAGAGGACAGCTTTTTACATGCATTCTTTGTTTTAAAAGAAAGATTTTGTCAGTAGTTTTGCTTTCAAAACTATGAGAGGAAAAGATATTTATACGTAGGTCTTTAGGTTGTGTCATTTAATGCAGCTGCAGTGGAGCCACAGGCAGCCAAGCCCACTTACACCTGATGACAAGTTACACTTTTTTTCATTTCCTATATTTTTCAAAGTCTGTGTCTTCAACACAGGCACAAAATGTATTTTGGGCTTTTTATTCCCGTTCACTTTCGTATCTATATAAGAGCTGTGTAAGAAACTACTGGGACTTGGCTTAATGAATAACAAGTGTAGATAGTTCTAGTAGCTCAGAACAAGTCTGTTATGAAATGGTGGAGCATGTCCACAAAATACCTTTCTGTCAATTCCCAAAACATGTTTCAAGAGTCTCTAATTTGGCTTCACTTATTAGGAAAATGTTGTTCTTTTATTCCTACTTTACCCAAAAACTTAAATTTAAAAGCTTTGTTTATATAAGCAGCACCACCACGTGATTAATTCCACAACTAAATTACAGCCTCACCTCGACCCCTAACCTCTGTGCAGAGCACAGCTGCCTGTTGTGTTCAAATTCATGTGTTTTGCAGCCTACTGTAGGAAAAAATATGTTATTAATCTACCCCAGGAAGACATACCTCTGCTCCCAATCCTCGCAGTAGTAGTCAGCTTCAAGTCCCAGACAAGCCCAGCACCCACCACAGCTTTTGGTCTCAGCGAGTCGATCAAATGTTCCTAATATTTCACTAATGCTGCCATTACTATGCAAAAATGCTTAGTGCATTGATGAATAATAAACAGTGACAAGTTTTACAGCTAAAATACTAAGGAACTAAGAGTTCCTACACAGCTAGTTCAGATACAGTTAAGATTAAAGCCTAGGCCTGTGTGCATGTGTGTGCTTATACACACATACATACATATATACATGTATCTGTGTATGAATATATGTATTTTAAAAGCCTAATCTTAGTCACAGTGTCAATAATTTAGGAGTAAGACTTCATAGCAGCAATAGCAGCAAGACAATATACAGGGAGGCATAAGAACAAATAATTTCCTTAATAAGACACTTGTCTATTTAGTTTACATCATATTAAAAAATGTTCTAGGTCTACTTCTGGCAAATTATTCCTGCTGGATCATCATTACTGCAGTTATGTTTTCTAGAATCCTTGAACCCCAGTCAAGAAGAACCAGGAATGCTAACAAATGTTCAGCATCACTAAACTCCTTCTGTGTGTCTGCTTGACCTCCGACTGATGTGCCATGAGTGTGTTGCTCTGGGTAGGGCTCTGTAGGGATGCTAAGCAGCTGATTTCTATTGATTTGCAGCCCTTACAACATATTTTATGGATTTATAGGCGGAAAGTTCACAGGCAGATGATAGTCCACGTGGAGGTGAAGAACAGTGGGTTAGAATTAGTATAGGGACTTGGAAATCACAAACCTCAACTGCTGGAGTTTTACTGCAAAGTATAGAATTCAAAAACAATCTGATGATTCATTTTCCCTGTGGCATTTTTATTTCCTTTTAATAAGGGCACTCTCTTTTTCATTATAGGATGTGACAGAGTTAGGGTGTATTTGAGGCTGGCAACAGTGCCTGTACAGCCAGATACCAGAAGGTTTTTCTGGGGTAAGAGGCTAAAATTCAGGAATTAGTTATTATTCTTGAAAGCATAACTGAAGTTCATGGGAAAATCAGGGTATTTGCTTATATGCATCAGATATCCAGACTGATGAATGCTCACAACAGCAGGGCTTTATAGACCTTCCTTTCTCATACTTCTTCCGTGAGGCCAATACAAGATGAATTTTTGCATGTCATAACTCATCAGAAGTTCTCTACCCATTTATGCTAGTTCAAAATATCAGCACACAAAATCTGTCCATTAATGCTTATTATTATTTATATATTGCCTTATAGCAGCACAAAGCAGTAGTGGATCACATGAAAGAAATGAAATGTGATTCCAACCCACCACACCACTTGTACCTACTTTCAGGCAATTTGGTACCTGCCACCTCCTTGATCTATACAGCTGCACTCCTCAGTAGCCATGTTACTCCTAAAATCCTCTGATATGTCAGAAACCCTTCACACTACACATTTTGCAAACTTGGAAAAGAATTTCAGGCTCTGTCCCACAGTGCAGGTGCTCAGGAGGCATAATAAGCCTATAGTTATAACCACATGTGGTGGTAATACAACGTGCCAGATTTCCTGCTTTTTTGAATGCGCTGCAATATTTGCGGTTCTTATAGTGAAATTCTGATTTCGGAATAAATTCTGAAACTTGTTTCTGTAATGCTAGTAAAAATCCACTACATAAAAAACCTCTTTGTTAAAACTGAGGAACTCAAAAGGGGTGAGAAATTTAGCAAACACCCATTTCTGTCTTTTGAAGTCCTTGATTGAGGCCTTACACATTTATGAAAGATGTAATAATAAATACAACTCCAAACTAACAAGAGAACAGAAGCAGTCTGGGAATACGCATTCCGTGCCTATTAATTGCCTTGCTGTATGGTCCTCCGTGCTTGTGGGAAGTCATGTTTTAGAAACATTCATGGAGATTTCCAGCAGAGAACATGATATTCTTTTCAGTAGGCTTACTCGTAGACTGGCAACAGCTATTGAAATAATGTCAACTTTTTACAAATATTCAGAGTTTTTTTGTTAATAAAAATAAGAAAGCATTATAATGGAACCCACATAAAGGCTGACACCAACTGTTCAACTTTTCTAACAGAAAAAAATAATTGTGTGCAAATTGTTTTGCTCATGAAAGTGAGATGGATGCAGGAAGAGGTGAGACAGACACCACAATACTTGCATCCCACCTCAGGCTCCACCTGGAACACCAGCTAATCAATTACTGGGGCTGACCTCCACAATCCACAGACCCTTATGCATCTTTGCACAATGGGGTTATGTGGATAATGCTTAACACAAGTAGAGAATTTTTCAAAACTACAGCACGTTTGTAGACCTGCATCTTTCAATGTAGGAATGTTGAAACAATAGTACTCAATAAGGTTGAGACTAAAGAAACTAATATTGTCCATTTATGGGTTAGTTTAGATTCAAAATTTTATGTGAAGTTTTACACTCCCAGAACAAGTATATCAACAAGTTTGTGGTTCCTAAATGCATCTAAGAGGTATGGTAAATGTATAAAGAACACAAGGATTTCTACTTAAGTGTGGCTTCCTCTCTTCTAGAAAAAAGAGTGGATAAGCTGCTGTTTAGGAAAAAAAGCTGTGTCTGGCAGTCCTACTTTCCCTGCAAAGAGTGATTTTCATTTTTAGATGAGGGAGTTCTGAATTTGCATACATAAATGGATGTAGTTGTCTTGCAGCTGACCAGGCAATGCCTAATTTGAAGACTTCTGCTACTCCTTTCCCTCACCATCCCCCTTCCAAATGAGAGATCTGTCCCTGAGTGCAGAGCAAAGACAGACATTTACAGTATTCAAATATTTCATTTAAACTTTTTATTCTAACTGAATATTAAATTAGTAGTGGTAAAATAGGAAGTTCTAAATAAGAGTTCTCTGAACTAATTTTACTTTAATGTTCCATAATATTCAGTTATGAATATTCCTCACTTGCACAAATTCTGCACATCTGTAGGCATATTAAGTGAAGCTCAAAAAATTTGAATAACAATATTAATATGATATTTTTAATTTCCTTGATGCTTTTCCTTGTACTGTTTGACAAAAATGGTCACAACAACAATGATGCACACAAACTTTCAGTAGCTGCTAAATATGTATATATTTGAAGCTATCTGGTTGAATTTCATTTAAAATAAATTTGTTGACATTTTACAGACATGAAATCATGACTGTCCTCCCGACACACAGGGTTTTTTGGCAGTTTCTGGCACAGTTTGCTAACAGAAAAATGTAACACAGCTTAAAATAAAATCTAATTGAAATGGTATAAATTCAGAAATAGCAATGTGTAGAAAAATAATGAACCAATGGAATTAGCTTGAAAGATCTTTAAACATAAAGTCCTTTGAAAAAAAACTGATAGAAAAATGTTTGTGCATAAAAAATAGCTTAAACGATATTCAAACAAACATAAAATAAATTGTTTCAATTATTTTCTGACATAAGTAATTATGGTAATTCCAAAAAATTGAATTTACTAGAGTCAAGTTTTATCATTATGTATGAAGAAGTTACATTATTAAATATAACAGGAAATCTACAGTTTGACTTTAACCCTGTGGAAAGGCTTTTTATCATTTAAATAGGATTTGAAGGAGGGGGAGGTTCTCCTGCATGTTTCTGTGTTTTATTTCATCTTTAATTTAACTCTTTGAGCATTTTGCAGAATGAACAGGATTCACGTGCATCGAAGAAAAAGATAGTTTTGATTAATTCAGTTTGGTTTAAAAAGTAGGAGTATTTTAATGTGCTATCACATTAGTAACTATGAAGATAAGTTAAATTCTTGTTGGTGTTTATAACTGGTCTGACATCTTTCTTCAAAGACTCCATCATAAAGCAAGAGAAGCTGCATACCTGATCAAACATCTGTAGGCACTAAGAGAGCTCTCTCCAAATTATTTACTGCTGGGAGGAGAAAACAGTATATTGGTTCTGTCTTTTCTCAGGGCTTATTTTAAGAAAGAGTAACCTTTTTTTCCATCTGTTGAGCAGTTCATGGGTGCCCACGAGCAGCAACCATCATCCACTCTGAGGGGGAGCAGAAAGCACCCCAGGGACATTAGACAGGCACATGGCAGAGTCAATCTCAGTTGTTTGCAGTTCCCTAAAGAGAAAAGGAAAATCTCACTGTGTACCAGCTTCACCCACCTCCAGATATTAATACTTGAGGGGGTCTTAAGCAGCCAGATACCAGCAGCAGGAATTGTTATCCCAAAGATCCTGCAACATTTCTGGAAACAGAACTTGAAAATTTCTCACACTGCAGCAGAAATGTTTTGTTTTGTCATCATTAAATATATTAATGCTGTTGAGCTGCAGATGCTGTCAATTATATGGTTCTGGAGTTATCATATGAGTAATGTAAATGACCATCTTTGTTTTGTATGCTGGTCACATTGTCTGAGATCATGACTTATTATAACTCATTTAATTAAATACTGAGATGTGGTAGCTGAGTATCTGAACCTCTTTTGATTAAAGTTTCTATGGCATCATGGTTTATTCAACAAAAATTTGAGCTGTCTTTACTGAAGTTCTACCAGAAAGATAGCCTAGTATTAGAAACTAAAACTCAACAGAGTCCATCCTTAGTTTGACTTAACAGTGGACTCTAAGAAAAGGTACTCTGAGTCATGCCATTATTGCTCAAAGTCATTATACTTCACTCTTCTATTTTTAGTCATTTTTTAAAAATAGATGTCAAGTCCAGAAATTGAAGATTTAGGAATGTTGAGATGAAAAAGAAGATGGACTTCTTTTATTAGAAGATTGACTTTAGAACAGGGAGGCAATATGTACTTGATTCACAGGTTAAATTTTGTGTAAGTAAACATCTGAACTACAGATGTTTTTAAATTTTATTAATGTATTTGTTTTTCATTTGATTTGCTATATCATTCCTAGTTCTCATCTTTTAAGTCTGTCATCTCATTTGTGTTTCTGTCAGGTGGTGAACTGCCCGGTTTTCAAACTATTCCCATGTTATTTCTGCATTCCCTCCTTTTTTTCCCATGTAAAACACATCTCATGTTGAATATTGTCAATATAGTCTCTTGATAGTTTGTATTTACTTTTGCATAACGTTTATGATGCTGCTAAAGCAATTGCGTTTCTTCAAAAAACAGCAGAAATTATAAAAGAATATTTCACAGTTCTCAGACATATTGATTTCATTTATGGAATTTGTGAAGAGAAGTGGAAGTTATGTTGTCAATAGAGAGGAAGTTATGAAAAGAAAAAGTGCAAAGTGATATCAAAGGTATTTCCACATTTTAAATCCATAAACTATGTGTTAGGAATTCTGAATTTCCACTTACAGCACTGTCATAATCAGTTCATAAAACAATCAGAAAAAAATAAATTTTCCTGTTTATTTGGCCATTTTCAAATCAATACAACTGAGAGCATATGTAGTAAAATCTGTTGCTGAACTGGTTGGCAGTGGAATTGTTTCGCTCACTGCTTCCCTTAAACAGTCTCTGAAATTAGTCGTAAAAACACACTGAACTTCTTTTTTCTTTTAAGGTCTGATTATCTTGCAAAATGTCCTGCACTTCCTTTTCCAGAATAAGCTGAAAATTCTGTCGAGTCTCGTCTCACGCTTTGTTCTCCCTTTCCTCATCCCAAATTTTCAGCTATTGCTTAAGACTGTGACTTCAGAGGAGTTTGACAAAATCAATAAAGTACGCTCGATTAAAATTGATCCAAAGTACATGGTGAAGAACTTTATCTTAGGACAGCAAGGGTGTATTCCCATGCAATGCCTGAGGGACTGGATCCTTCTGGCAGATGAAGTGCCTATAACACAGCTTGTGTAGCCATTTAGAGTTAATAAATCTCTAAGTAAAGTTCTATCTGAGTTTGGTTGGATTTACTTTAATTGAATTGAATTACTCTTCATTTCAAAGTAACAATTCACTAAACTCCCAAAAAAAGGGGAAATTATTTTGCACTACAATATATCACTTCATCCCCTAACAACTTCGTTGCACATCCAGCCATTGCAGGGAGCTGAAGAGGGTGATCCCACTTATGGAAAGGCAAACAGCTGGATTGAACACATCTGAAGAAGCGAGGCTTTGAAACATCATGTGAAACTGAAGAAAACAATAAGAACTTCCTACAAGACATCTATCCTGAGATTTCATAAGCAGCTTCCCCTATACTAACTTGATTTTTCCTCAAATAAACATCAAGCCAAGGTTTTGAACACACCTATATAGTCTCTGCCGAGATGAAAAGTTAATAGATCCCAATGGGTATGGCTGCTTGATCAGCAGATGATTTTGTTCCTCACTCTGCTGGGCTTTGCAAGTTCTCTTTTAGTGAACCATGGTATAATTATCGCTTGCAGAAAAGAGTTTATTCAGTTCCCAGCCTTGTGCTGACAACAGCCTGCAGCTCTGTGCTTTCACAACTCAGCAGAATCTGTCCCATTGGAACAAGGCCAGTGACAGGCAGATGTAACCACAATATTGACCAGCCCTGGTTACCTACCATCGAGATGGGCAACATACTGGTACAGTTCCAAGGCACCTCCCAACATGAAAGAATGACTGTGAAACAAATCCTGGTCCCCTGCTCACTTGCTCCTCACTTACTGCTTCAAGGTAGCTTCACAGCACAGCCCTCCAATGTCTTTTTGCCAAAGGATCCTCACAGTGTTCCTGTAGGTTTTGGTGCACAGGAAACAACTGCTTGGGAAAGCTTGTGTACTGGCAATACAACTCTATCAAAGTGAAGCAGCTTAGAGTGGCAGATTAAATTAAAACACACCAGGACAACAAAGAGCCCAAGAGAAACTTCACCTTTTACCAACCTGGTTTAGAAACTTCTGATTTCCACCTTTGTTTTCTTAAATACATTACATTTACAATTATGTACACCCTCACACCAGCATTCACCCAACATGACCAGTTACCCTGGAGAAAATACAGAAGTGTGTCTCTAGTAAGCAAGTGTTACTCCTCATAGCTCCTGGTCACATTTGTCATCTCCTGCTCAGCAGAGGTGTTGGGCATTCCTGACCTTGGGGAATACCTAGCAGGTCAACATGAAGAGAAAATAATGGCTTCAAATATAACATTGTTACAAATTTTTTTTAATTTCAATTTTTTTTTTGTTCTGCTTCATTCATACCAATTCATGTCAGTTCCAGAATGCAAGTTTTGGATTTAAAAATAAATTAGGGAGTACTGTCCTGATTATGTCTAAAATAGGCATGTGAATTGCTCTGTCTTAGATCATGTTTCTCCACAACAACAACTGGCTCAGCCCACATGTCAATATTTTAGAAGGACACAGATAAGATGAGTTAACTAGAAGCTGCTTTATTATATTATTTGAGATAAGCAACTGTGGAATTTTTAAGTTAACCTTGATTTAAAATTAGGCATCTAAATTAGTACTCAGTCCTGTCAGTTGCCATAGTAGTGCCAGAATACCTTTATGTATAGCTCTCCAGAAGTTAGTTGCTCTGCTCAGCATTTCAGGGAGCTTACTGACTTTGATGTGAAATTATACATTCAGGATACTATTGCGAGAACTACAAAAGTGGCTAAAGAATGCTAGTCTCCACTGATCTTACTGTAAACCATGCTCTTAAATCACTCTCAGGCTTTGAAAATCCATTTACATTTTGGACATCCAGATTTGAGAGATTTGTCCATGGCTGTCGAGGCAAAAAGATCAAGTATCATCAAATTCTTTAGATACCAATTTGTAATTATAGGGTAGGGGGACAAAGGGGCATTATTGGGTTTTTTTAGATCAGTGAGTTTTATTTTCCTTTCCCTTGGGGACAAATTGCCTATATTTAAAATCAAGTTTTTTATGGTGGAGAGTTTTTAGTTATGCATGAATATAGCTGTCTATATATCCATAAACACGGACTTAGCATCTGTACATACCATTGTTAAAGTCACTATAGTTCTAAAAATTATTTAATAATTAAATATAAAATGGATCAGTGAAAGCAGAAACTGCCCAATGAAAAAAAATGTGCTGTCATACGAATACTATTTGATTATTCTTGCTCTAAATTAATCAGCAAAACTTCCACTGAACTCCACAGAAGCTCTGTGTAAATAAGCAGTAAAAATCATATACTCTTTTCTGTAATGCAGCAAGTTTAATTCTATAAAACCTTCTTGTCTCCTCAGAAAGCAGTTTATTTATTAATGGTCTGACTTAAGCTCCATTAGCTGTGGTGCAACACTATGGCTATAGAAGTACAATAGTTTAATTGTAATGTGGTCCAAATACACAAGACATCGAAATATCTTTTTAACCAACCAGTTGTTGCCACAAAAATACACTGCAGCTTCAATGGCAGTTAAGGTACAAGCATTAAAACTGATTTTTAATGACTACACAGTTGAGCCCTGTTGTGCAGTTGCTGCTCTCACACACTCGCTCGACAGGCGGGTGCTGCCTGCCAGGCTCGGAGGGATTCTTGGGCTCTCCCCAGAGCTGCCACCACCACCGTGAGATCCTGCATCCTCTCCTGCAGTCCCTGAACCCAGGTTAGTTCCTGCCAGCTGGTTTTGCCACCAAGTAGAACAATCCCTAGGAGCAGGTAATTGCCTCTCCCAGTACTCACCCTGGCTCCTCAGCCATAGCATGGGTGGCAGACATGACCATGCAGCTGGAGGTCAGTAATGCCAAGAGAAGCAAGCACAGGGGTTTCACAGCTCCTGCTTCCCTTCCTGTGAAGGGTGGGGACAAAGTATTCTTCTTAAGGAACTACTAGAAATTTGCTTCTTTATTTGACTTTCGAAGGCTGTTATAGACAGGGCAAAGTTTGCATAACACCACCTTCTTCTCAGAAACAAACATGTTTTTTTGAAGTGAAGTTTTTTTGAAGTGTTTTTTTAGGTATTACTTTAACAGTTTAAAATTCTCAAAAATATATGAGAAAACCTGTCCCAGAAGCTATAGCATAATAATATTCATAATATATACATATCTAGACAAAATTAATACAAGATGAGATGACACTTTCATCACAGCAGGGACACTCAAGAAAAGAACCTGAGTATAGATCAAGGCTTTCTGTATTTAATAGGGAAACTCATGTCTATGTGGTGTTGAAGACGTTTACCTGAGAATGAGATTAAAGAATTCTGTGATCAAAATCGGCTCATATAATGAAATTAATTCCCCCAAATTAGGAAT